AGCTGGTTCAGACTGCAGCTTTCTAGCCCAAGTATCTTTTACTGTTATCTCTTCTGGAAGAATCCTTTTCCCCTTGCCTTTTGAGTCTCTTCTGTAGTTGAGATAGGTTAGATTTTCCATGCAACCCAGTTTTATATCACTTAGTTGTTACTATTCAAATACTTCACAACAGCAAATACTTGCCGAAATCCTATACTCTGTCATTCACTGTGCCGGATTCTAGGATACAGAAATGAATAAGAAACTTGTAGTTTGACATAGATATAAGCTTAAATAGAAGAGTGCTATGATAGATTTGTACACTAAAGTTCTTTTGGACTATGAATTTAGTACGACTGTTTATATGTTTGCTTTTTATGAGTAAAGGCATCGCGAGTTTCAAAGTCAGACTTATATTCAACTTATAAATGAACTTTTGGAAATTTAGAACACAACCCATTCATGAGTTGATGTTCCCTTTCTAGTTAGATGGTTACATGTTTATTATAGGAGTGCATGGTATACTAGCCTAAATTAACTGTTCATTTGAGTTATTTAAAGCTGAAACCACATTATATTTTTCTGGAGCATAATGTTTGCGTTTTCTAGTTAACATACCAAAGTAACAGTAATATCTTTAGTTTAAGAACCTGACTGAAATGTTTGTAAAATGTAGATTGTTTCGTAATTTGGCTTTTTGTTTTTAATGGTCATATGAATGCAGCTATCGTGTTTGCAGTATTTGTACAGTGCATAGGGTACTTTTTCTGGGTGCTGAGAAGGGAGGAGAAATGATAGGGAAGAGGGGATTTGGAGTAGCCAAAGGAAAAAATGTGCAATCAGTGTTGTTGATTCCAATGAATTCTAAGAACTCCATCACATCTTGATATCTGGTACAAGCTCAAAGTTAATCTTAAATTTTGGCTTAGGTCATGGCCGTACGTGCTGGCTACTTGGGAGGCTGAAGCAGGAGGATCCTTAGAGCCTGGAAGGTCCAGGCTGCTGTGAGCCATGATCGTGCCACTGCACTCCAGCCTGAGTGACAGAGTGAGACCCTGTCTTTAAAAAGAAAACAAAACAAAACAAAAAGTTTCCAGGCGTGGTGGCTCACCTGTAATCCCAGCACTTTGGGAGGCTGAGGCGAGCGGATCATGAGGTCAGGAGTTCAAGACCAGCCTGGCCAACATGGTGAAACCCCATCTCTACTAAAATACAAAAATTAGCTGGGCATGGTGGCGCATGCTTGTAATCCCAGCTACTGGGGAGGCTGAGGCAGAAGAATGGCCTGAACCCAGGAGTCAGAGGTTACAGTGAGCCGAGATTGTGCCACTGTACTCTAGTCTGGGTGACAAGCAAGACTCTGTATCAAAAAACAAAACAAAACAAAAAAGTGTTTTGGCCTAGATTGACTAAAAGAATATTTAAACTATTATTTTCTATAAAGCAAATCATATTAATAATAGAAATTAGAGGGTGACATTCTGAAACCTTATACATAACTGGTATGATATCCATAATCAGTGCTTGTCCTTGGATTCTGCATGGGTAGTGAGCTTTAAATAAAGTATCTTGTTAGTTTAAGATTGAACCATTTTAATAATTTTGAAAACCAAGATGGATATGTACATTTTGATGACAAGAAAAGATGTTTTGTAAGGGAAATGTGGGATTAAAATGAACTTTTTGTGTGTGTTTACAAATAATTATTAATGTTGAGGAAATTTTTGATGTTAGCTCTGAATTATGAATGTTAGAATATATTTAGAAACGTTTGATTTTCATTTTTTCCATGTCATTGAGAAGCTTGGATATGTTTTTTTAAAGAATTGCCTTCTTCTTAATGTGTTTTCTACAACTAATAGTCTTAGAAATTTCAGACACAAAATCTTTGAAAAAATGACTTGTACTTACTTAGCGTTTTGTTTTAACTAACACCCCTGGTGGTGGTTGAACCACAAGTTCATAGTGTTAAAAGCCTGTGGTAAATTACCCAGTAAGCTAAGTGATTAAAGTTGTTTGGAACATTTTGCCCATGTATGTCCTATTTTTATGTGTATACATATTTATAGATTTGTGCTCATAGGACTATAGCACTATATTGCAAAGGTCCTAACCTTTACTTTATTCACACAACTTCTATTGTGTGCAAAGTGACTTGCAGATCTGTACTGTGGAGCATATCGTTTCCTGTGTCTTTTGTTTACCTCTGAGTAATGAAGTTAAATCTTACTTGATTTTCCTTAGCTAATCTATGTTATGTTATGTTACGTTACGTTATGTCACGTTACGTTACGTTACAGTTCTAGGATACATGTGTGGGACTTAAATTCAGTCTTTAGGAAAGGTTTTCTAGGCCGGGCACAGTGACTCATGCCTGTAATCTAAGCACTTTGGGAGTCTGAGACAGGTGGATCACTTGAGGTCAGGAGTTCGAAACCAGGCTGGCTGACATGACAAGACCCTGTCTCTACAAAAAATATAAAAATTAGCCGGGCGTGGTAGTGTTCGCCTGTAGCCCCAGCTGCTTGGGGGACTGAGGTGGGAGGATTCCTTAAGCCCAGGAGTTTGACACCCGCCTGGACAACATGGCGAAACCCCATCTCTACAAAAAATATAAAAATTAGTTGGGCATGGTAGTGCGTACCTATAGTCCCAGCTACTCGGGAGGCTGAGGTGGGAGGATTCTTTGAGCCCAGGTGGTGGAGGCTGCAGTGAGCTGTGATTGTGCCACCACACTCCAGCCTGGGCAACGGAGCCAGACTCTGTCTCAAAAAAGAAAAGAAAAGATTTTCTGAAGTTTATGTTGAGTGTTTGTACATGTGGGAAAACAGGGAAGAACAGATTATCTGGGGTTTTGGACTTTGAAGATGGGGTGTTTGAAAGCTCTTTTGGTTATGTTATTCTCTATTTTTTAAACTTTAAATTTAGCCTGAAGCCTAAAACTTTTTAGCCAAGAAAACAATGTTTTAGTAAATAGTGCTGTAATAAACAATAGTTGGTAAGTTTACATGTTAATTTTATAATTTGATACATTGGAAATATCTGGTAGAATTAGAATCAGGCTATATATATATGAATATATGTATGTATATATATGTTGTGTATGTGTGTGTGTGGTCAGGCTGGTCTTGAACTCCTGACCTCAAGTGTTCCACTCACCTTGGCCTCCCAAAGTGCTGGGATTACAGGCATGAGCCACCGTACCCGGCCAGGCCATATATTTTTAAAACAGACACTTTGATGGACTGTTTTTACTTTTTGGGGATAAATTAATTTGAACTTTGTTTAATACAGTGATTGCCTCCTCTCTCTTCCATACCCTTAGGGAGGAATGGAGTAGTTGGCAAAGAATGGCTTTGGGGGAAAATCTCCCTATGCCATTTCTAAAATGGAAACAGTGCATTTCTTCTTTTTTTTTTTTTTTGGAGACGGAGTTTTTCGCTCTTGTTGCCCAGGCTGGAGTGCAATGGTGCTATCTCAGCTCACTGCAACCTCTGCCTCCCCGGTTCAAGTGATTCTTCTGCCTCAGCCTCCAGAGTAGCTGGGATTACAGGCATGTGCCACCACATGCGGCTAATTTTTGTATTTTTAGTAGAGACAGGGTTTCTCCACGTTGGTCAGGCAGGTCTCGAACTCCTGACCTCAAGTGATCTGCCCGTCTCAGCCTCCCAAAGTGCTGGAATTACAGGCATGAGCTGCTGTGCCTGGCCTGCATTTCTTTTCTTGATTAGTAAAAGGGAAATTAAAGATTATGAGCATTTCAGAAGAACACGAAACACCAACTCTTTATTTTTACCTTCCCTCATTTCTCTGAGGGACAGCCTGAGAGTTTTATAGTCATATGAAGACTCTGAAAAATGTTAGAGACCTGGCTAAGTTGTGGGTAACTAGTGCATTGAGAAGACTGAAAGGCTCCTGAAAGCAGACAAAGCATTGCTAATTGCATTCAGGGTCAGGCTGTCTTTAGCCAGACCATGAAAGATACAGCAGCCTGTCTGCTGAGTGGAGACTCTTGTCTTTAAGAAAGACTGCTACCTGATACGCTAGACCGTTTCAGGTTGCCGTCGTTTACATGAATTTAGTCATTATTGCCAAGACTGCTAAACCTCAGTGTGACACAAGTGATACTTCTAAATGGACTTGAAGACAAGGTATTTGACCTTGCAATGGGGCATAGGCAATGTTCATACAGCTTTTAAAATACGAAACAGAATACTTTGCTATTTGAAGTTTCCGTTAAAAGATTGAATGAGATTATTTTTAAGATCGCTAAGTAAACAGCAGACATATCTTTAAAAATTTTTTTTATCACTTGACCCAGGAGGTGGAGGTCGCAGTGAGCTAAGATTGTGCCACACCACTCCAGCAGGGGTGACAGAACGAGAACCTGTCTCAAAAAAAAAAAAAAAAAAATTAACCTTTAATAGTTTCTATCTTTTAGATTTATGAATGCTTGCCCCTTAAAGGGTAAGGTGTTAATGGCAGTACTAATATACGGTAGTTTAGACCTATTCCACGGACTTAGCTCAACCAGTGCAATTAAGTCTTCACCCTCACAAGTCCTCATGTTCTAGGTAGAATTGTGGCTGAAATGAAAACTGGTTATGAGACTTTATAATAAAAAAGTAGAAAAGTGATATTAGCTAGATGATCCAATATATTATTGTCTAAGTAGGAATCTGAATATTGTAGAAATGTACGTTTTGGTGCTGCTTCTAGCTGTTCCTGTTCTTTTTCTTTTCAAATTGAGATGAGATTTTTTTTTTTCTGTAAAGCTTAAGCTAAGATAGGAATTTTATATGGAAGTACTGTTCCCACAGAACTAACTTTACAAATATAAAGCTTGGGCAGAGGTTGAGGAACATGGTAAAGTGATAGATTTCTTAAAAACTAGAAATTTTCGTTGACTTTACTTTGGAAAGGTATAGTTGTACATGTGAAACACTTCTAGTATTGCTTCTACATGTATTATTCTGACAGTGTTCCTTAAGTCTTAAATAAGTTCTTTTTTTTCTAAACAGACTTATGAAAATATGCATCAGTTTAATACTGTCTTGGAATTCATGAGATGGAAGCATAGGTCAAAGCTGTTTGGAGAAAATCGGAAGTACAGTTTTATCTAGCCACATCTTGGAGGTAAGGAAAAGAACATAATTAGAATAATACGAAATTTCTCATTTTTTAATAGTTGAAAATAATCCTTCTGCATTGTCACTTTATTTGAGCGTTCTTCAGTTTCTTTGTAACATCACTTTATGGTAGCTTTTTTAGTTTCCTTAATCATCTTTCTGATGAGTTCATAAATAATTCTAATATATTTTCCTCATAAATGTTGAACCGCTTCAGGAGTGAAAGGTATTTATTTCTTACTAATCACTTTCATAAATCTCCTTTTGGAAGATAAGCATTAAATGATTTATATGTTTATTTTTTTCACCCTAAGTTTGCAAGGCAGAGTTCAGAAGCACCTGTAATCCCAGCACTTTGGGAGGCTGAGGCAGGTGGATCACTTAAGGCCAGGAGTTCGAGACCAGCCTGGCCAACATGGCAAAACCTCGTCTCTACTAAAAATGTAGAAATTAGCTGGGCATGATGGCGTAAGCCTGTGATCCCAGCCACCTGGGAGGCTGAGGTGTGAGTTGCTTGAACCCAGGATGCAGAGGTTGCAGTGAGCTGAGATCGTGCCACTGTACTCCATTCTGGGCAACAGAGCAGGACTCTGTCTCAAAAAAAAAAAAAAAGAAAAGATTATATTGAAAAATGAATGTTTATGTTATTCTGAAGTTTTTATGCTTTTTAGAATTCAGGATTTTTTTTTTTTTTAATTTTTTTTTGGAGACAGGATCTTGCTTTTGTCACCCAGGCTGGACTGCAGTGGTGTGAGCATAGTTTCAACCCCCTGGGCTCAAGCAATCCTCCTGCCTTAGTCTCCCACATAGCTGGGACTACAGGCACACATCACCATGCCCAGCTAATTTATTTTTTTATAGAAACAGGATCTCATTATCCCTCTGTGTTGCTCAGGCTGGTCTTGAACACCTGGACTCAAGTGACCCTCCCTCCTCAGCCTCCCAAAGTGCTGCGATTACAGGCATAAGCTACCACGCCCAGCCCAGGATAATATTTTTAGCATGTTAGAATAATAGAGCTTTAGAAATAGAATTTAAAGAGGTAGGAGCTGCCAGAAATAGGAGGAAAGAAGCCATCCTAAGACAGTATGTACAGGGAAATCAGGCTTACTGTTTTAAAATCCATTTAGAGACTAATGATCAGGTAAAAGGTTTGAGTTCATTAGGGATCTACATTTTAAGAAATAGATAGGATGTATAGTTTTGTGAAGCAGTCTACGCTTAACACTTCTGGAGGTTGCAGGCTTTGCTCGCTGCTTCTGTTAATACTTGCAGCATTCACTTGCCCTTCTCCTGCCCGTGCCAAACGGCTGGATTAGCTCTTCTGAAAAATACTGTGACTCTCAAATTCTTTTATGAGGTTTCATATTGTTTGATTGGTAGAGCTGTGGTCATTTTTTTCTTTCTCAGTTCTTTTGGTTTCCATGACTGTATGCTCTTCTGATTCTACTTATTTAATTACTCCTTCACCTTTTTTCCTTTCCCTTCTACTTTTAAATAATAATGACCTTCCCCAAGGTTTTATCTTTGAAATTCTTCTATTTTTTTTCTTATGTCTTTCCTAGTCTCATTATTTCCACAGTTGTCTCTAAAATGATCTCTCTCAACTTCCTATCTCAGTTGTGGCATTTTCTCTAAGCTTCAAGCCCATATTTTCAGCTGTTTACAGAGGGCTCAGCTTAGTGCCTCAGACTTCTATTATCTAGCACATCATTCATCATGAGCTCTGCACCCGCTATTCCTCCTTCTGTTAACGGACCTCTTTGTCACCCAGGCTCAGAGTCTTAGTGCTGTATCGGATTCCTCATCATTTGCTTCCTACCCTTAGGCACAAGTGAAGTCCTATCAGTTTCACTTCTCTGATGTATCACAAATATTTGAATCCTCTCTTTCCGAGTCCCCCTTCACCATCCAAGTTTAGGTCCTTACATTACATTTCACTGAAAATATTGCAGGGATCTTCCAACTTGTGCTTCTTCTCACTCGTACTTCACTTTACATGTTGCTGCCAGCTTAAATTATCTTAAGAGATAATTTTGCTTGTATTGTCGGTGACAGTTTGCCTGTCTGCCAGAGTAAGGACAAATTCCTCTAATTTTAAAGATAGCATAGCTTTGCCTTCATCTGTCCATTTCTTTCACCCTTTAAGCATTTATTAAACACCTACTGTATGCCAGGCATTGTGTTAGGTCAGAATGCAAAACATTAAATAAAAACAGGTTCCTGGCTATACTCAAAAAATAGTCTGTCTAGAGATGGATGAGCATGAAAACAGTTATTTAAGTGCAATCTGAGAAGTGCTATATTATGATTGAAATGATTTATTTGATTATTCCACACTTTATACATAGATTATAATTATAACATCATGGTACACCCATAATTGCATACAGCTATAGTTTTTCAAAAAAAATTTAAAAATACGAGTGACCATGTCAAAAAAAAAAAAAGTGTATTGGCATCACCTAGAAAGACTACACCAATGTTGTGAGAGGAGAGAATTGTCAGGCAGGCTTCAGAGAAGAGATAATATTTGAGCAGAGTCTTGATGGACGAATAGAAGATTGCCGAATGGAAACTGGAAAGTGTAATACTGTAAAATACATATTTGGTTTTTGATGCCATTTCCTGGCATTCAAGTCTTAAAATCCATGAAACCTCTGAAGTGATGTCTTTTTGTATGCTAATGAGTTAACTAGTAGATGGCAGCCCGCTGGTTAGCTTTAGGTTGGGGGCTGGTCAGCAGAAACACTAAGGCAGGATTAGAATCAGAACTTTCAGTTCCCACCCCCCCAACCCCCAACATTTAGGGAGGGGAGAAGGGCAGAGGGTTAAGTTGATCACCAGTGACCCGTGGTTTAGTTAGTCATGCCTACAGAATGAACGTTCCATAAAAATCCAAAAGAACTGGGTTCAGAGAGCTTCTGGATAGCTGAACATGTGCAGGCTCTGGTGCCCTGTACATCTCTTTATCTATTCTTTGTAACATCCTCTATAATAAACCTGTAAACATAAATGTTTCCTTGAATTCTGTCAGCCGCTCTAGCAAACTAATAGAACCTGAGAAAAAGGGGTTGTGGATACCTGGATTTCTGGCTGGTTGGTCAGAAGCACAGGTAAAATAACCTGGGCTTGCCATTGGCATTGGAAGTGGGGACCACCTTGAGGATTGATCCCTCAACCTGTGGGATCTGGTGCTGTCTCCTGGTGGATAGTGTCGGAATTGAATTGGAGGTTCCAGCTGGTGTCTGATGCATAATTGTCTGCTTGCTTGTTGGTGGGGAGAAACCCTCACACATTTGGTAAGAAAAGTCTTCCCTGTTGATTGTTTTGGTGAGAGGGCAGAGGAAAAATAGTTTGAGTGTTTTCCATACTCACAGAAGGCAAGGGAATTAATTTCATGCCCAGAACCCAGAGCGGGGTGGAGGCAGAGCTTGAAAGTGTGTAGAATGTACAGAAGATAGAATAATTTTTGTATGGCTTGAATTTAGAATAGGAGAGAGAGTTTGAGGGACAAGGCTGGAAAGGACCTTATGAAGAATTTTGAATGCCATGGCAAGGAGTCTAGACTTTTATTTTGTGAAAAATGAGCAGTCATTGAAAAATTCTAACATTTAAAGATATTTTGGATCATAATTTTTTGTTAAAATTAATATGGTGGTTGTATTAGTCAGGTTTCATGCTGCTAACAAAGACATACCCAAGACTGGGTAATTTATAAAGTAAAGAGGTTTAATGCACTCACAGTTCCACGTGGCTAGAGAGGCCTCACAATCATGGCAGAAGGTGAAAGGCATGTCTTACATGGCAGCAGGCAGAGAGAATGAGAGCCAAGGGAAAGGGGAAACCTCTTACAAAATCATCAGATCTTGTGAGACGTATTCACTACCAAGAGAAGAGTATAGGGGAAACCGCCCCCATGGTTCAATTATTTCCCACTGGGTCCCTCCCACAACATGTGGGAATAATGGGAGCTACAATTCAAGATGAGATTTGGGTGGGGACACAGTCAAACCATATCATTGGTGATATGAATGGTAGTTTGGAAAAAGGAAAAACCAAAACTGGAGAGGCAAGTTAGGATATTCTTAACTGTTTCAAGCGAGAAATAATGAAGCTGTCAACTTAAGATGGGGGTCAACTTACCCGTTTAAACATTGGTTGTTTAGAAAATGTTTAATTTTCTTCTCTTCCCCTATGTACTGTACTCTTCAGCTAGTGATTTGAAATTGTCCTGCGTTTTCTCTTCTCTCGGCATATTTTTGGCCCTTCCTCTCTCTTGTGGAGTGCCTATGAACCTTAAAAACCACATCTCAAATGCCAATTCATCCCTAAAGTTCTTTCTAATCTGTATTGCTTTGACTCTAAATATATGTCTTTTCTTAGTCTAAAGCCCCCAAAGCACTTATTTTTATTCTACAGGATATTACTTTTTTGGTACCTATTAAACTATGTGGCAGCAAGTCACAAAGGAGGAATCAGAAAGTAACCTGCGCCCTACCCTTGGTGGTATATAGTCCAGTTAGCGAGGTATGTATATAAGTAATATAAGTAATGATAACCAACATTGCCACGCAAAAGTGAGGAATGCCACAGGAGTAAATTGTTGCTTCTAGTCAGGGTCCTGTAACTGAGAAGCACCGGTAGAACATAGGAGGTTATGTGAGCTGAGCTTTGAAAGATGAGTTAAATTTAGATGGGTAAAGGATATTTCTGGAAAAGTGGATGGATAGAAAGTGAATGTTTTTGTAGGAATGTGTTGAAGGTCTTAGAAAGGGTAGAAAGTATGATGTGAAGAAAGCTCTTTTAGGGAAATTACTGTAGCAGTGATATATAAACTATACATCATTAGAGAAATGAAGTGAGGAGGTAGGGAGCTGAGTGAGGAGATTGTGGTAGTAGTTAGGCTTGAGTTGATCAGAATTCAATCAGGGTGGTGATTGTGGAAATAGAAAAGAAAGACTCAATGGTAAAGGTATTGTGGCAGAAGAAGGGACACTGATGTGT